GGAGGAACGGTCAGACGTCCTCTATATCTGGTGCTGATGTGTCTGTTATCAGTGTGTGGCCGCCCCTCTCGCTGTTGCTGTCTACAACCTCAACATCACAAACTTAACTACCACCTCGCCTCCTTCATCCATAGACACAATTTCAATAAATATGAACGAGTTTTGTGTTAGATCTTAAATATATCAACTTAGATCCAAAATATATCAACTTAAATCTAATTAATTTTTTTTGAAAAGACCGACCACGTAAAACATTTCCAACTCACAGTAATCTTGTAAAGACGACCTGATCATTGACGAGGTGTGACAAGTTTGTCATGTGGCGAGTGGTCGTTGTAGTTATGGTGGGGGTCACAGTCACCATGACAGGTAAGTGTCATGTTACACGTGGTCGTTGTAGTGATGGTGGTGGTCACAACCACCATGACAGGCAGCAACACAATAATCATCTTAATATGAACTGTTAACACCATACTGGTAGTGCCAGTTTGCTTCACTCCTGAGCAGGAGGAGGCAGGGTCATAGTGGAACCATCCACTTGTCTAAGTAGGTCTTCGTCCAAAGATTGGACAAGTTTTGAGGAATTCTTTACATCAAGATCCCATGATGCTGCAATGTCTAACAGATATGATAAATGGTTTTGAAAACCGACAGCTTGAAGAACTGAGACACTTATGCAACATATGGGAATCTTTATCACATCTGTTAGACACTGCATCATCATGGGAACTTGATACAAAGAATTCTTCAAAATTGTCCAATCTTTGCACGAAGACTTACTTAAACTAGTGGATGGTTCCACTATGACCCCGCCTCCTCCTGCTTCGCCTCACCTGACTACTGTAGATACGCCACTGCTACGGCCCTATGCTGTACTTTCTACAAGATTGATGGACTGAACACATCGACTCTAGGCTAAGGGACTGATTACCTCAAACTCCTCCTCTCCTTATACCTTCCTACTTTGTATAGGACTGATGAAGCCACTGTGTGGCGAAACGTTTCTTCAATAAAGATTCCCATACGTTGCATAAGTGTCTCAATTCTTCAAGCTGTCGGTTTTCAAAACCATTTATTATACCAAAAAGGTGACGGATATGTCTATAAGATTCCTTGTAAAATTTGCGATAAAGTTTATTACGGTCAAACTGGTAAAAGTCTCGAACTAAGATTAAAACAACATAACTAAAGCATTAGAACTGGACAAGATTCTAATGCTTTATATATTAATGTGTTTCTTTGTTGTGGGATGTGATTGTGAGGTGTGGTCTCGACCCTTTATATGCCTTCCTTTGATGTAATGCTTATATAGTTCCTTAATAATGTGAGAAGTCATGAAAGCGCTTGGAACTTCACTATTCTTTCAGTTAGTTTAATATGTTTATTATGCACCCCATACCCATCCTGTGGGCGGTAGTCAAAAGATTACAGAGGTACATAATTGGTCCAGGGACTGGACTCCAAAGTTTTGATAGCTGAGCAAGTTACGGAGGTAATGAGTTCACAATTTACAAAGGTAATGAACTCACAATTTACAAAGGTAATGAACTCCAAGTAGGTCTAGTCACAATCATGACAAGTTACAAAGGTATTTACAGATTACAGAGGTACGTAATGGGTCCAGGGATTGGGCTCCCAAAGTTGTGATGGCTGAACTAGGTACAAGGTAATGAACTCACAAGTTACAAAGGTAATGAATCCTGTAAGAATGGTTACTTACGTTTATTACTGGCTACAATAAGAAAAAAAATTTTATAGTGTAATGACCCAATTCACACTTCACCCCCGGTCACAACTGTATTTTGAATTATTTGGTGCAAATATTGATTTTTGAGACACACAAAAACTTTTAACACACACAGGCCCTAAAAAATTTTTACACACACAAAACACCCACCTTTACACATGCCCGGGTATAGTATAAAAAAATTTATGGAAAAAGTTATCGGGGGGGGAGGGGTGGAGCCCCTGGAAGGGAAACAAGAGTATAAAGAAACCCAGCAGGTTTTAGGGAAAGGAAAAAAACCTGTGTTCAAAAACCTTTTGGAGTTTCAGGGAAAAAATAACAGAAGAAAGAACCCCCGAGAGGGGGGGGGTTTGGGTTGATTTTTGGGGACTGAAAAAAAGGCCTTTGACCCCAGTTCCTCACAAGAGTTTTGTGCAAAAGCTAGGCATAGGGATATAACAGGAAGGGCACTGCTTTGGCCCGGGGAATACCTGACAGGGGGGCAAAAAACGAGTCAGGGGTACGTAAGATGTATCACAGTGGGCACCGTAAACGAGCGGGGGCCCCACAGGGGTCGGGCCTGGGACCAGTCCCTATTTTTGGGTTTATTTTGTGAAGACAGGAGGAAGGGTTAGCCCTCAAAAGGTGCCCCTGTTTGCAGTTTGATGTAAATTTAAATGAGGAAAATTAAAAAATTCTGATGAGGCCCAGGCAGGACTTAAAAAAAAGAAAAAAAAAAAACCTGGACGAGGGGACCCCTGGCCCGAAAATTGGCTTCTCAAAATTTAATCCTCCCAAAATTGCAAAGTCATGAAGATAGGGGAAGGGCCAGAAGCCCACAGCCCAAAGTATAGGTAGGGGGCCCCAAAGACTGAAACCTCACTCAAGAAAAAGAAAGATTTTTGGGGTGAGTTTTAACACGAGATGTCCCCGGGAAAAGCCCCACATCAACCAGATAACGGCTGAAAACGATTTGGGCGCCGGGCCCAACCTGGAAAAACACCCTTTCCAAAACCCTTAGAAAGGGAAAACTTTTCAAGACACTGTAAAACCGTGTATGTGGGCCCCATACTCCCGTAGGGCAGCCCCTTTTTGGGAAACCCCGCACTTGAAAAAGCAGTCAAAAAATAGAAAAATTTAAAAAGGTTTTTGGGCGAAAAGGGTTTTGTTCCAGGCAAAGGGGGAATGCCCTTTTGGAAAGTTTAAAGGGGGAAAGGGCCCCCTGGGGGGGAAAATGGGGGGGACGGGGGGGTAGGGGAGACATGTTTAACCGCCCTAAAAAAATTAACTGCGTGGGAAAGACAAGGTGGACGGGGGCCCGGTTTTTTTCCAGGGGGGGGGGACAAGAAAAAAGAGGCCCAATTGGAATTTAAAGGGGCCACAAATGAGTCAGGGGAGATAAAGGAAGTTTTCTTCATTTCTTTAGGTTGTAAGGCGTGGTTTTGCCTAAAAATGACGTAGTGGAGGAAGGGAAACCAAAACAGTATTAAGCGGGGTTTGAAAAAGCTCTGGAGGGGGGAGAGATGGGCCCCAGTAGCAACGGTGAAGAGGGGGGGCCCGGGAGCTAGTCGCCCCTGAAAACCACAATAGGGAGTCCAAATGGGTTGAGTCCACTTTTTACCCACCACACATTCATTTTACACTCATACACATAAAACACACACCCCCAACAAAAAACCCACACCACAAACACAAAAACACACACCACACACACACCAAAACCCCAAAAACACAAAACACACACACACCAACACACAACACACAACACAAGAGGGGTTGGAACGACCTGAAATCTAAATTAGGTGAGTGCACACAATAAAACCACAAAACCACACACCACACACACAAAAAACACAAACACCACACCCCACACAAAACCCCCCCAAACCACCCCCACATAAAAATTTGGGGTAATGCTTTTTTAAACAGCTAGAAAAGTCAGGGTATTTCTCCAAAATGGTCGGGCAATTTTCCCTGTGGATAAAGTATTTTTCCCCTTTCGAACATTTCTGAGGGGAGTTTTTTTAAAAATTATTAATTTTATGCACTCCAGTCCCAAATGACGCGGGGGGTTTTTGCCCAATGGGGTCCATCGGGCCCAAAGTTTACATTTCGTTTGGTCTAATTTTGGTGGTGGGGGTTTAAAACCTCCCAAAGATACTTGAAACCCCCACCCGGGGGCCGGGCCCGAGTGAATCCAAGGGTTGCTTTTTTTGGTTGGTGCACCATGGGATGTGGCCCCTCCGGGAATAAAATTTTGAAGGGAAAAAGTGGCCCTAAATGGTGTAAACTCCTGGCCTTAAAAGTCCTTTAAATTCCCGTTAGTTTTTTTCGTATTATTTTTCTAAAACCTATGACAACCCCAAGATTGAAATCTACTCCCTTTTAAAAGTACGTTTGGATTTTAAAAAAAATTTCCCCGCACAAAAAAGCCAGAGCTTACGACGCGTTTGGGTTTCCGCCCGGGCCCCTTGAAAAGGAAAACACAAAACAGAGGTGGAGAAAGGACGGCTATTTATGGGAGGAAGGGGGTGGAGGTAGTGTGTAGTGTAGTGGGTTGTACAAGAATTGTATTAATCCCGACAGGATGAAAGGGACACCGCAAAACCCCCCCGGGAACCCCCACCGTAGACGTTTCGCCATCCCCCACCCACTGGAGGGGGGGAACCGTCCACAAAAAAGACAACCAGACGCTGCCCCATGTGTCAAAATTTCATCAGTAGTTTTTAGTAGAAGAAGAAGAGGTAGTAGTTGGGGTTTAGTGGTAGAAAACTGGGAAAAAAGGAAAGAGGGGCCCAGTTTGTGATCTTTTCCATTTCACGGTATTGTCCTTTTGTTATTTAGGGTTAGCAATTTATCAGTTTTTATCTTGCATCTGAAGACCAATGTGAGATGGGGAAAACCACAGCTTTTGCACTTGACTCCCCTGTCCACAATTTTCCCACCTACTGTGTTTTGGTTTGACCAAGCATGCAACAAATTTTTGATTTTTTGAGTTGAGAGCATTTTTTGGATGACAAGAAAATCGTTACAATTAAATTTTCATTTTTGATAAAATAGAGCATTTCAGGGGCCCAAGGGTATGGGAAAAAATTTTGTCTGGGAAGGGTAGGGCCCAAATTTTTGATGCGTGCTCCCAAATTTTTTTAAAAGAGCCTTACTCTGTAGGAAAAAAGCCGCACTACCCGGGTTTAAAAGTGGATTTGTTTTAAACAGAAAAAATAGGTAAATTAAATTTTCAGGGGGTTTTGTGCCCGTGTGACTTTTTTTATCAATACGTAAGGCTCATTTTTTGGCTTCAAGGCGAAGTTTTGGTTGTGATTTAAAAAGTAGTTTGGGGGGAAATGGAGGAATTTAGTTTTGGAAAGGGGTAATTTTTCCATGGAGCGGAGAAGTGGCCCCGTTGCCTTACTTGACATAGATATGTTTTGTTATGCGGAGGTCGGTTCCCGTTTTTTCGATCCCTTTTGGTGGGTGTTCACCCGTGTGAGGAAAATTTGGGGTTCTGTGAAGGGGTTTTTTTAAAGGGGCTTTTCCTGAGCAATTAAAACCCCAAATTTGGATATTTTTTTGTTTGTTAAAACAATCCCACACATACAACCCAAACTTACACAATTCACAAAATCTGTATATATGTTTAAAT